CAGTCCTTTAAACTGGAAATCCAAACTGAAATAGAGCCAAATATCTGAAACTTCTCCAAATACTTAAGAAACAATTCATTGGAAGCCATATAGAATGAAGTGAACAGAGACAAACTTTAAGCCTTACACCCTTGTTTGCTGAGCTTTCATGATAATCTGCCATAAATGACTTCCTCCCTCCCTTAGGCCTTGTTTTTGTTTTCAGCTGAAGGTGATACTTCAGGTGATGCCTCTGGCCATTTCAGGGAGTGAGTCAGTGTTCCTGGGTGTCTCCCCTGTATACAGGAGGTATACACGTTATTAAACTTGCTTCTTTTTCTCCCTATAATCTGTCTTTTTAGGGGGTGGGGGGTGTCAACCAAGAGCCTAGAAGGGGAGAGGGAGAACTGGTTTTCCTCCCACACACACACACACGCAGTGGAATACTCCTCAGCAATAGAAATTAAACCCTCAACCCGCAGAAAGGCACGGGTAAATCTTACTTGTATGTTACTAAGTGAAGGAATCCAGTCTGAGGAGGCTGCACACAGTCGGACCCTATTTAGGACAGTTGTGGAAAAGGCAAAACTACATACATGAGCAGATCATGGGGTGGCGGTGGGGGTTGAAGTGTTCCATGAGTTACTTTAGCTTGGTGTCACTATGATTGTGTCTAAGCCCATACATTTGCACAGCCCAAAGGTCAATCATAATCTACTCAAATTTAGTGGGTTAGGGTGTAGCAGCATCGCAGGGTGGAACACATAATGTGACAGAACCTAACTGTATTAGAAATGGGTGTAAAAACTCACAGTCTGAGGTGGGCAAGAGGTGCTGACCTAAGTGAACTTTGGAAATGCACAGAGTCGTTCTGCAAAGGCAGAATGGACCACTGTTAAACTGTGGGCTTTGTATTATAAAGTTCTTTCCGGGGTGTAGTGGCTAACGATTCTGAAACCACTGTGAACGAAACCTGGAAAAGACAAATGAGTTGATAAAGGGCAGATGGTGGGATCAAGGCTCCTCGCTGTGGGAATGGGAAGTCACAGATGAGCAAGGGGAGAGCCTTGGTCCTCATATTCCTGGATCTGAGTTTCCTAGTTGGGATGGCATGGGGAGTGGACTGGCCAGGGTAAGGCACAGCTCTTTACCCTGGGAAGGTCCTGCAGATGTAGGAACCTCACACCCCTTCCTTACCCTCATACCTGCTGGAAACATCCAGACCTTTGAAATCAGCCAATGCAGCTTTTCAGACATTCTCACCCTAAGGCAGATAAAGGAGACTGAGGGTCTTGCACTGCTACCTAGCTGTCCCAGAATCCAGGCCCTGGAGGGTGGAGTCAGGACGGGGTACCTGGATCTCTGACCAGCACGTCAGAGCAAGGAAGAAGACCAGTCCTGACAGCAGGGGTCTCCTAAAGTCTGTGAGCCCAGTGCCCTGATGGGGTTCATTCCTTGTGGGGACATTGGCGGGACCTGCAGTGGTTCTGTTTTCCACCTGAGCTCATTGAATGAAGCCAGGGCTGCAATGGGCTCAGGAATCCCCTGGCAGTGTTTCAAACTCTGACACAGTGGCTTTACAAAGGAACAGGAGAGTGAAGCTGAGAACCTGACCGCCAATCCTCTCACTCTGAGCTGCTTCCATCAGGACCAGAGTCCCCTGCATGGAGTCTGCTGTAACTCACCTGCCCCTACCTGGGCTCTCTCCTTCCTCCCTGGACCCATCCCCCAGTTCCGGCCATCTCTCCAAACCCTGCATCCCCCTCTCACCTTAGGGCTAACAGGCCCCTCACAAAACTGTGACCCTGTTCCTCCCCACACCCCAGGAGGCAGCCCCGCCTCCCCTGGTTGCTGAGTCCAGACACCTGGGGCCTCCCAGTCCCCCACTTTCTTTGTGCCCCAGTGACTGTCAGCTCCTCCTCTGGAGTCTATGGCCAGTCCTCACAATAATGGCACTCTACAGCCACAGGCTTGATGGTGGCCCAAACCAATCTTGTGCCCGGCTCCTCCATCAGACCCTGACAAAGCTCCTGCCCTCATGGTGCATCTCACATCCCATCCCAAAGTGGATTTCATAAACCAGAAATGAGACTGTGACTCTCTCCCACCTGTAATTCCCCAAAGATTCCCTCACTTTGGCTGGGCTGTCTTCTGGAAGGGATGTCCGCTGGGGCTCTGAGAGTCCCCAGCACCCTCGCTAGGCTGCTAGCTCCCATTCCTGGGAGGGGCCTGCCCTCATGAGCCCCATGGGCTGCTGGGTGCCTGCCCAGGTGAGCTCCATATCCTGGGAAGGGCCTGCCCACCTAAGCCCCATGCTCTGGGAGGGGTGTGTGAACAAGCGTCCTCTTTTTGCTGCCGGCACAGAGTTGTTTAGCAACTCTCCCATGGGCAGTGCTGGGATGAGGTGAGAACCAGGAGATGCTGCAGGTCCCTGAACCCCGCATGGGCCCACCCAGCAGCTGGGTGCTGGCTGCTGTGCTGTACGAGGGTGACTTCACAGGTACCTCCTGTTTCTTCTACCAGATGCCACAGAGGCCTCCTCAGGACAGAGCAGACAGACTGACTCAGGTGGTGGGGTTCCTGGTGACCCTGCAGGGGACACAGGAGAGAGGGACCAGGCAGAAAGGGAGTGTGTGCCCAGGCAGAGCCGTGGGTCTTGTGGCCCATGGGGCCCTTTCTGGGCCTGAGCTGGAAGTGGACAAGCAGGTGGTGGGTGTGGGTAGTGACCTAGGAAAGCCTTCCTGGTGAACCCATAACTTTAACCTGAGTGCAGGCTCTGAGCACATCCATGCACTTACCCAATTTCTGTCCAGGGGACAGTCAGCCTCAATTATGCTGGAATAAATTGGGGTTCCTTGGAGGCCCTGAGTGGGCTGTCCAAAGCTGCAGTCCTTGAAATGCAAAGAATCACTTTCCCTCTCATCTTTTTAAAAAAATTTTTTCATTGAGGTTACTTTGGTTTATAACACCTTATGTCTTCATGTGTACGACACTATAGTTGTACTTTTGGTATAC